CTGGCATTAGTTAAGAGACTACCAAATTTATGTGTAATCTAAAACACTTATTAGAATTTTTCTTAATTCATACTAATGAATACTTACCATTTTACTAAACAGTGCTAATTAGAGTGAAACATGTAAAATCAGAAAAATCAGAACCACATTACTATTTAAGAATATGTTTAGCTTGCTTTGTTAAATGAAAAGTAAAACTTGTATATAGGTCAACATATTAAAATTTCTAGTTAATCTGTTAGGTGCTTCTGAGAAATTATAATATGTATCTTAACAGAGATATTTAATTGTTCAGAATTGTTATCAGATTGAATCATTTCCATATGCTAAGTATGACATTTCTCATAAGATTTTTTACTCATTTACCTTTTTGTTGAAATGACATTATATATATATATTATATTATACATATATTATTATATATTATTATTATATAATACTTATTTCAGTAGTCATTTCACCCTTTCTTCCTCCTCTGTTTTGGTGTCATAAAAACAAAGAATCAATTGATAATGAAGTAAAGTTAAATAAATACACATCAGCAGCAAAAGCTTTTTAAAAGCTTACATTTGATGCACTTACCAAGAAAAAAAATAAATTCAATCTTATTATAAGTAAGGGAATAAAGGACACGGAAATTCACAAATGGAATAATGACTGAAAGCCAGTTTATGGAGACTGTTAAAATTACTGCAATGAAAGGAAAACACACACAAAAGAAGTGCTGCTCCAATTTTGATGTGCATATCGATCACCTGGTTGCCTTATTAAAATGCAAATTCTGATTTCAGTATTTTCACCATGATGGCTCAAATCCTGCATGTCTAACAAGTCTCTAGGGCAGGCATATCCAGCCTCTGGGCCACCTTTCCTTGTTTGTTTAAATGTTAAAAAATACAAGAGGTTTCATTCCTTCCGCACATTGAATGAATTATATATTTTATACACAGCCCAAGATAATTCCTCTCCACTCAGGGCAGCCCAGGAAAGCCAAAAGGCTGACACCAAGGGAGTACCTAGCAGGAAGCTGACCAAAGGTCCCATTTTGCATTGCAAGAACCTCAAATGTTTACCATACTCTGAGTAACTCATGAAATGCTTTAATTTGGCTGCAAATCAAATAAAAGAGGAATTTATAATCCTTGAAATATTTAATGAATATTTAATGCCAGAGCAGGAGCTCCCAAAGTATGACTTCCAGACATGGGGCATCAGTAACACCTAAGAACTTGTTAAAAATGCAGACCCTTGGGCCTCAGCCTGACTGAAGCAGACAGACAGTCCAAAGACGGGGCTCGGGATTCTGTTTTAACTATCCAGGTGATTCTCTTACACTTAAGTTTTGAAAACTCTGCTCTGCATAGTATGTTAAAGATTTAGAATACAAATGTGAATGACTGCCCTTGCTTCTAAGAATCTCAACAATAGAAAAGTGTTGGGTTCCAGCAAGTTTAGTGTTTCTTTTTTAATATTTAGTCTTTAATTCACTTGGATTTCAGTTTAGTGCATATTGAGGCCATACTCTTAAGTGAAATAAATAAGACATGTGTAAATACGGAATAGTTTCTCTGGTGTGAAATACTGAAAGTATAAATAAGATCCAAATGGTATGATTGACGACAATGTGAAACAGGAAGAAAAGGGCTAAAGGGTGGGGGAAAGGAAATAAGGGAAAAGAAAAAAATATGAGAAAATGAAAAAATGGAAACAAGGCTTTTGTAAATAGGGAAGGGTGGAGGGGGTGAAGGGAGGTCAGGGGTACGGGGAAAAAATGAGAAAGAAGATCTGCCATGTAGAGGTACAAGATCCCAATGATGAATGTAGCTGTATTGTATCCCTAAAATGTACCAATTAACTCAATGAAGAAAAAAGAAAAGTGTTGGGGTACTAAATCAATAAATACATTAAGTATGTAACAAGTACAAAAGAAAGAATTTCACACAAAGTGGCACTTAACAGAACAGATAAAGGATTCCAGTAAAGGTCACGTGAGCTGAGTCTCATAGTTAGCTACTCTTACGGCTTGTACCTAGATGTCCCCCTAAAGCCTCATGTGGTCATAGGTGGAGATTTCCAGAGGTGGCTGGATCTACGGTGTGGGGTGCTAGGATCAAGGATGTAATGCTGGGACTGATTCAGGGTGCAATGCTAGGATTAAGGCCCCCCACGTGTGAGTGTTACCCGCCCTGAAGGGTAGCTAGGAGGGATAGGACATAAGGGACAGAAAGAGGGCCATTGCTTGTTGCCTGATGCTTGTTACTTTACTGCTTTGTTACCTTCTGTCTGCCATGAACTGTTTCTCCTCTATAATGTCCCTGTCTTGGAGCTAGTTAACTGTGAACTGAAACCTCTACAAACTGAGCTGCAATAAACCTTTTCTCCTTTGACTTTGGGTGTCTGGCATTTTGTCTCAGCAACAAGAGTGACTAAAGCACTATTTGAAGAGTGACATGTGTAGTGTGTTCTTTATATCAGCCAGTTCCATAGCAGTATATCTGACCAACCATAGAACAGAAACTTCAGAAAGAAAGTTGAGTCTGTGCTGAACATGTACACACTTTTGTCTTGTCACTATTCCCTAAATAACACCTACAGCAAATGCTAACATAGAGTTTATACTATATTAGGTGTTAAAAGTAATCTAGATATGACTTTATGTTTGATATGCATAGGTAATGTGCAAATGCACTGTTTTGTATAAGGCCTTACCCTTTGCTTTTGGTAAGGAGAGGGGCCTGAAGCTTGGTGCCTTTGGAAAAGTACAAGTAATTCATCCCAAGTGTCTATGTGGCATATTCTAGAACTACCATTCTCATCACTTCTCACCTGTCAATAAATAAAACAATACCCTCAGAACAATAAAAATTTATTTTATGAAGTCTATTAACTTTACAGTTAAGGGATCCCGCCCAGAAGAATTTCACTGTTTTCACCGAGAAGGAAAAGTCAGGAGCTTCTAAGGGAGAATTCTTGAGTAATGCCAATTAAGCATTGGAAACTGCCACTCTGGATATAAGACAGATAGAATGTATAGGTCTGTACATAGTTAAGGTGACATATCCACTGTTCATTATTTAAGAAAGTGTCTGTTATGTCCAATGAATACAGTCAGACTCTACTCTAGGATCACTGAAGTTTAACGATGCGTTTCAGCTTTAGCCTACTGCTGAAACAAAATAATCACTTGATATTTCCAGACAAGTTCTGTTTTAAATTGAAATATGTCCTTTGCAGTCTTTATTCTCTCTTATCCAGAGAGATCTCAGTGTAACCACACAAAGAATAAGCAACTGATCCAGTTGTTAGCTCTTCACCACCATACTGGTTTGGGTGACATTCTCAAGGGATTTCATAGAGCTCATCCAAGTGATTTCAGTCACTTTTTTATTGCTGTATTTGGACCCTTTAATAGCAATTACAGTTCTGTGAACAAAACACTGGCACATCCTTTACACTCTCCCTGAATGATAGCAACCTTAGACTTTCTGAACTGGCCTCTGGGTGCAAGATCTTAGAATAGTTGTAAAGATACCAAACAGTTGAGGGCAGGATTTTTAGTCAGTGGCACTGCACCTGCCTTGCAAGCACAAGGTCCTGACTTTGAACCCTGGTACCAAAAAGAAAAGGATACCAAACACTGGGTCTAAAGACAAAACAAAAAAGAATATGGCACTTGGGCAAAGGAGTTTCCAGAGTGGCAGGCAGCCAACAGTGTAAACTGTTGCAGACAAGTACAGCAGGATGAGGATTAAAAAGTGTTCACAGACCTCAATAAATAGTAACCTCTGAGGAATTTCCGAGACCTGACAATGGGGAAAATGAAGGTATAGAGCATGAAATAAAAGATTGGATGTGCTTGGTGAAGAACTGAAGAACTTTGAAGAACCCTGATTGCTTTGAGTACACTTTACATTAAGTGCTTAGTATTTTCCATTGCACTTTTAGGGCCAGAAACGTCATTCAGTGTTTGAGGTGGGAGGAAATTTAGAAATCACTGATATTCTTTCAACCGGTGATGAGAGAAGCCCGGAGAAGTGAAGTGAGGTTTATTTTTATTGGGATCGCCATGTGTACATTCCGTGGAAGATACAAAACACATTTAAATCTTGAAGAATCTCTGAAGGTTACCCCCCCAAAAAAAATAAATAAAATGATTAAAAGGGGTAAAGGTTTTGTTTTAAAGTTTTCAAGACTGTTGTATTTGCAGTTATGAAGTTATGCTGATTATCATCCTGAGAAGCTTTATATCAAGTCTCCATCCTTGCATTGTATTTAGGATACAGTAACAGTAATAGTAGGGCTGATCATAATCTTGACTGTACTGGGCGCTTATGACGTGATAAACACCACTTAAACATTATCTCTACTCGAAGCGGTTCTCACAAATGAGAAGGGTGTTCAAAGGGTTAACTACTCTAGATTCATTAAATTGACTCAAAGCTTTTCAACATTCGTAGGACGCCTCGTTTAACGGTGCGGTCGGACCACTTAGGTACAATAAGGTCCTGGGGAATCTGGGTAAGATTGGTCGTACTTCTGGGGCGAGGCAGGCTCAGCTTTCAGCACTCTGTCCACAACACCCCAGCGCATCCCAATCCGTCCTTTGCCAACCCTGCACTCCTACTTGCCCTTTTAAGCAAGGCCTAGAACAAACTTTCAGATTGACACTCCCCCGGCGCCTCAGGAGCAACAGCTAAATATGTACGAGGGTCTCCGCTGCTGTGCTCTCCCTTGGCACACCGAGCAATCGCACCGCACAAATTAAGGAGGGATGGATTGAGCTTTAAAGTAGTTTGACTCTTCAGCTTTCCGTACTCGAGTCGTGCCTCCGCCTCTGGCCCCGCCCCTAGCAACGCGGGCTTGCGTTGGACCAGCCCG